CCCCAAAACCCCAAAACCCCAAAACCCCTTACTGGTTTTTCAAAATTGAAAATTTGTTGAGGAAAAAGTGAATTTAGGTGGGTTTTATTGGGACAATTTGGTGGTAATCTAGATTGGTTTGGGTCAATATATATTTTTAGATGCTAAGATTTTAGGAATTTTGATGCAAATTGACAAAGAAATACTGTATTTAAACAGCAAAAATATTAAGGAGATACCACACACAACATGATAAAACTAATCTAGGAAGATCTAAGAAATCTGTCACAGAGACGCCAACAAACTGAAATATAGTCTTCAGATAGCACTGTTATTATTAAAATTTGAGGAGCCAGATTTTGAAAATATTTAATAACTTAATTTCTCAGTTTTTATAATGATATTTATAGTTTATTCATAAAAATCTATGAAATGCAATCATATCTTTTTATATCATAATCAGAATCTATCAAACCATATATTTCTATTGACACTTAGCTCATATCTTTCAGAACACCTCAACACCAAGCATTAAAAATTATACCCAAAAAATCTTCCAAACAAACACTAACAACCCTTAAATCCTAATTTAAAAAATCCCCACTAACTACCTTCAAAACATCGAAAAAAAACCCTTAAATCACCTCCAAACCCACCTATTCCCACCCCCAAACGCACTTTGCCAAAATCCCTAAAAAAACACCCAAAACCCCAAAATCTCCACCCTCTCCCCCAAAAATCCCCCTTCTCTTCCCATCTAACCCCAATAATCCCCTTCTCTTCCAGGCTGAGCTAGCCTGCCTCAGGGCTCTCAGTGGGAGAAATTAGGGGATCTGTTCTATGAAGGGTGGGTGACAAGGAAGAGACTGCTGGTGGGGCTGTAGGTGAGGGATTAGGATTTAGGGGCTGGGGGTTAAGGGACTTGATCCTGGGGGATTTGGGGTGGTTAATTGGAGAGCAGTGTCGTTGGGGGAAGGGGGTGTTTATAGAGGATATAGAGGAATAATGTGCTTTGAGGAAGATTTTAGATGTTTTTTGTTGAGCCAAAAATTTATGATATAAAATATGGGTAGTATAATTTTATAGGGTTTAGATATAGGTCTTGGTTGGGTAAAAGGCTCTGTCTTTATGATCTGGGAGAGGACTAGTAATATTAAAATATCGTAGGATTAAGTATATATATCATTAACGGCTTCTTCATTGGAGTAGGGACAGTTTTTATTCCTATTTCATATCAGATGATTTGGAAAAATCATTGTGAAACTCTATTTGTTTGAATCCCTGGGATGTGGCTCAAGGTAGTGTAGCCCACTTCCCTATCGGAGGACAAATATCTAATAAAAAGCATAGAAAATTTAGCAAACAGAACTTGCAACATAGCCTTCAAAAGCAGGTTTGTAGGTAATGATTGCTACTAATTTCATATCTTAGTTTATTAAAATTCATTGACCAATAAGCATTTTATTTTATTTAGCGATTTTTATAAAATTTCTAAAGTTCCTAAAGTACCTACTATTATAATTTTTTTAATTTCTTCAAATCTTATAAAAACCTTCTTTAAACCTTCCCCAAACCCTCAATGCTTCCAAACCCCCAAGTAGAGCTGACCACTTTCAATTTCTCTTAAAACTTAAGGGGTTTTGGGGTTTTGGGGTTTTGGGGTTTTGGGG